GTCCATTTGCCCCTCAATGCGGTGAAGTCGTCCTGTATCCTTAGCAGAAAAACAGCCCCAAAGCATAATGTTTCCACCTCCGTGCTTGACTGTAGGGATGGTGTTCTTGGGGTCATAGTCACCATTTCTCTTCCTCCAAACACGGCGAGTCGAGTTAATGCCAAAGAGCTCAATTCTGGTCTCGTCTGACCACAGCACTTTCTCCCAAGCCTTCTCTGAATCATTTAGATGTTCTTTGGCAAACTTTAAACGAAATGTCATACCAAGATCAAAATGAACCGCAACAATAGTGTTCCCACAATGGAACATTCAGATCAGTATAAATTCAGATCTATTTATACCCAGCTGCTAACTCACAAATGTGTGTAGCTGTTGGTTAAAACACCAATGAAGACAGTTTTTGTGACTTCTCATACCTTATTAGGTAAACAAGACCTCACATTCCTAACATCCTCATTTATGATATTACATTTTTTGTTCAGTTTTGTTTTGATTTTGATGTTTGTTTTGGATTATTGTCCTGACGGAAGATCCAACCACGGCTCATTATAAGATTTCTAACAGAGGCAGTCAGGTTTAGATTTTTTATCTGTTGGTATTTGACAGAATCCATGATGCCATGCATCTGAACAAGATATCGAGGACCTCCAGCAGAAAAACAGGCCCACAACATTAAAGATCCAGCAGTATATTTAACTGTGGGCATGGGCTACTTTGCCATCTGGTGGGTTTGTCAAAATATTATATATATATATATATAAATATAGTAGAAAAAATATATATATATATATATATATATATAAACTAGCTAAGCAAGAGTTGTAACACTGGCAACAATCAATGACAAATTGTCGTAAAAGATGAATTCATTGTATGGTTTCAGTAGCACCTTAAATCCCACTCCACTGATCAGACTAAAATGAGCTGAATTATAAAATTAAATCTTTTGTTTTCTTTTTCCTATAGAACAGCTTTCAATCGAATATTAAACAATACAACACCAATGACACAAAAGTAGGCTAAATAAAGTTTTTCAACATCACAAATTTAAATTTCTAATAAAAATGTGCTAAACTGTACACACATGCCAGTTTTGGGATGACAGCAGAGATTTGAGGTAAACAAAAAGGCATAAAATAAAGTATAACCTATACAATTAAATCAATGAAATCGAAAGACAGAAATAAAAAAAAAGTTAGCCTAAATAGCCTAAAAACATTACGATGTTTACAAATATTAACAGTTGCTTATTTACTCCATACTTAGCTAACAGAAGCAGCACCATAACACAATAAATGAACTAAAAATGAATACGTATCGGTAAACGAAAACCGACTGTAAGCAGAGAAAAACGGAACCACTATCATAATCCACGTTTCTGGGGGAACTCAATAAGAAGGCGGACCGCGGAACAATAAATAAACTCAGAAATTCCGATTTACCAATATCGATGTTTTCGGCGAAATTATGCTGCATTAAGGGATTTTCCAGCAGTCGTCTTCTCTTTTTGAAGGTTTTTAAGCGTGTTCTACCCTCCTTGTCTCATGGTCAATGCACAGTCACTAATACAGTGAGCGGTTTATATTACTACTGAAAAGTATTAATTTTAAGTAGTAATTTTTTTTCTTTATATTAGGAACATTAATATTTTTTTACATTTTCAATGTATTTTAATTGAAATTTTGTTTAGTTGTACATAATATACTTTTAAGTGTTTTAAAAATATTTATTTTTTCATTTATCATATTAATATATTTTTTAATATTTGTAAATATTTGAATGTGTTTAAACGGTTCTCAACAGCTTGAAGCACAGTGTAAATCTAAACCTCAGAAGCAGGTTTGTAAGACTGTACTGAAGCATTTTGATGCACAGTACAGTGAAGAGCTCGGAGAGCAGTGGCGCAGTGCAAGGTGGTAAATATGATTATTATTATTTTTTTAAATAGCCATTCTGTAAAATAACTGTAAAAATAGTTTAAGTTGTTTTTAGCATGTTTTTAAATGTATGGTATTACATGTATGGCATTACCACAGTACTTTTTTTTTTGTAAATATTAGCTTTCTGGAAATAGTGTTTTATTTTATTTACAAAAGTGCATTATATTAAACAATATCGGAACTAGTCTGAACAACATAAATGTTTGATGTTTTCAGGGATGTGCTTCTGAATCCGCTCTCATGGCAGTACGGTGTACTGCTTAATCGCTTCTGTGACCTTACAAACCTCAAGCAGTGCCTCACAGAGCTTGGACACACAAACCTTCTTCCACAGACGCATCCTGAATCTCATTCCCAAACTGCACCCATCCCCCTGCAGTGTTTTATTCACCGAGATCCAGTGCGAATTCCTACCCAAAACCACCACCCTGGCTGGTTAAAACAGTACTACCTCCTAAACGCAGCCTCTCTTCTCCCAGTACTGAGTTTGAATGTGAAGGAAG